TCTGGGTGACCCTGCTTGGGCAGGGGGTTGGGCTGGGGGACCCACGGAGGGCCCTGCCAACCCCTGCCATGCTGGGATTCTGTGTCCCAGCTGGAGTACATCTGGGGGAAGACAGAGGGCATGTGAGGGTGCTTCAGAAAGGGACAACACCCATGAAAAACCCCTAGAACTCGTCCTTGGAGATGTGCAGAGCACAGCCTCTGGTGACTTCTCACAGCAGGGCTGTGATGGCTTTGCAGCTGAGTCACTGGGGGAAAACCAGGGGAAAACAGGGATTCCCAGCTGGGATTGGAACTGGGGGCCTGGTGTGACTGGTGCTGAGGGCAGCCCTGCCCGGGGGCCTTTCGGGGTGGTGACGGCTCCTCACGTCCCTGTGCTGGGGCTGACGAGTGGGGCTTGTGCCAGCCGAGCGTGGGGTGCTCAGCCTCCCTGTGTCCAGCACCAGTTAGAAATTACCAGTAAACAAGTTAGAAATTACCAGTAAATGCGGCTGCCACCGAGGAGCACCCTGTGGGTGGGGTACAGCTGTCTGATGGTGGCTTTTGAGAGCTTTCCTCTCCACGCATGAGCAAGCTCTGCACTCCTATCGTGCGAGTTCCTGCTCTCATTAATCATTTTCCTGCGTGCTGGCGTGGGGGCCGTTAAACGCGCGGGGTGGCCGGGCTGTCCCCTCCCCACAGCCCTGCTGACGTGCGTCTGCGTGCCTGTCCTGCGAGTGCTGGCTGTCCATCCGTCCATCTGTCCGTCGGACTGCAGGCGCCCTGCTGTTGAGCGGAAAGCTGTCGGCCGTGCTCTTTATTTCCGGCACACAGCTTTAGTGATCGGATTTCTTAATTTTTTATATCAGGTCCCTGGGGAAAAAGCCTTTAAAATAAAAAAAAAGGGTGAGTGATTTAATCAATTAGCCTATGCTAATCGCATTGCGCCCGTGCTGCGGGGCGCAGCAGTCGGCCAGTGGTATTTCTGCGTAGCCCCTGAAGCGGGGAGCTGCAGTCCAGCAAGACGTTTGCTGTCCTTCAGCTTCGTGTGAGGTTGGGAAAGATGTCCCCGTCTTCCCCAGGGCCAGGCGGCTTGGCAGGGCCCTGGCAGCTCTTCTGGTCTGGGGCTGTGGGTGTTCTGCACCCTGCCCAGGCTACGAAAGCGCTGCTGCGAGTCTCCTCTGCATCCGTCCATCGCCGGGACTGGCTGCAGCCCCGCTGCAAGGTCTGCTCAGGCCAGGGGCTTGGTCTGCTGCCTCCTGGGGTCACAGAGCCCGTCTCGGGGAGGTTTCTGCCCGGCTTCCCTGTTCCCTATGCCAGCCTTCGGGGGAGAAGGAAGGGAACAAGGACAAGGACTAAGCAGTCAGCAGCTGCTGGGGGGATGGTGGACTACTGGAGAGAGTCCAGCGGAGGGCTATGAGGATGAGGAGGGACTGGAGCATCTCTCCTGCGAGGAGAGGCTGAGGGAGCTGGGCTTGTTCAGCCTGGAGAAGAGAAGGCTGAGAGGGGACCTTAGAAATGCCTCTAAATATCTGCAGGGTTCTCTGGAGATATTCCAGCCCCGCCTGGCCACGGTGCTGTGCAGCCTGCTGTGGGTGACCCTGCTTGGGCAGGGGGTTGGGCTGGGTGACCCACAGAGGGCCCTGCCAACCCCCACCATGCTGGGATTCTGTGGTGGTGGTTTGGGGTTCTGGTTTGTTTTTTAAATGGCTTGTGAGTGAAGGAGGGTGATAATTCTCTTGGAAAATGGGATTCCCTTTTCATGTGGATTTCACAGCCCGGCTTTGCAGGTAGAGCACCTTTGTTAGGCTGCAGACCGACCCACTCCTCCTGCCTGACACGTGTGGCCGCAGAGTTCCTCCCGTGACCACCCCACGGTGGTTTGGGGTTCTGGTTTGTTTTTTAAATGGCTTGTGAGTGAAGGAGGGTGATAATTCTCTTGGAAAATGGGATTCCCTTTTCATGTGGATTTCACAGCCCGGCTTTGCAGGTAGAGCACCTTTGTTAGGCTGCAGACCGACCCACTCCTCCTGCCTGACACGTGTGGCCGCAGAGTTCCTCCCGTGACCACCCCACGGTAACATCAGTTAATGCTCCAGGCTACCGGCTTTACCCAGTTTGTAAACGCAGACTCTGTGGTGCCGGATTGCTGAGCGCGGGGCGGTTTCCAGCAGAGCCGGTGCGCGAAGGACCAGGGCCACCGGCCACGCGGAGTCAGTGTTGCTCCGTGCCGAGGCGGTTTTCCGCTGAATTCCTCCAAAGCAGCAATGCTGGAGGACCCCCTTTACCCTCAGCGTCCCAACAGCTTCCCCAGGGCATCTTCTCATAAAGCAACGCTGTGCTGGGGTTTATTGTCATGAAACCTGGCTGGAAGAGGGGGAAAAACCCCTCCTCTGTGGGTGACTTCTGCGGCACCCGTGCTTTTTCGCAGCCGCTGATCCTAACAGCTTGCACGGACCCTGCAATGGGAGACTCCAACCAGTCGCAAAGATGTCCCAGTACAGGCGGCGGAGCTTTAATGGGGTCAGGCTGGGGAGGAAGAGCATCCCGCGGGATGCGGGAGCTGCTGCTGCCCGTCACACGCAGGAGTCCATGGCGTACATCTTGCTGGTGGCCGTTCGGCTACGGGGCTGGGGGAGGCTCTGGGGTTGCCAGCGGCTGGGGGGGGGCGGCCGGGGGGGGGGGGGGGGGTGAAAGCTGAGAGCTAGGGAATGCTGCTTCTCTTTTCAGCATGGCCTAAAGGCACCCCTAAAATTGCACAGGAGAGAGTCGGGGTTGTGTCACAGTGGGGGGGGCTCAGGGGGTGCCACAGCATGGAGATGTGGCAGGAGGAATGAACCCATGAGGGTGACTTCCACCCCATGCAACCAGGCAGAAGGGCTGGAGGTGGTGTCTGGTGAGGCATCACCTGCCCCACGTCCCTGCTGGTGGGACGGCCAGATTTCGACCGACACATCCCCGCAGTCACCGGCTCAGGCTTTGGCTGGTCATAGTGACACAGCTCCAGCACAGCCACTGCTTTGTGTAGACGTCAACACACCTTCACCAGCACCTTGAGGTCCCACGGGTGTGGACAGGGCATTTCTGCACCCCCTCCACACCCTTATGGGGTCCTCACTCAGCCCAGTCCTGCCTGGCGTGACCCAGCCTCCGCTGCCAAGGCACACAGGCCAGACATGAAGGGGTTCCCCTTGATTTAGCCAGACCCTACAAGAAGTGCCTGCACCCTCTGAGCTGGTCCTTCACCCCACATGCATCCTTGCAGGGCAAAAAGCTGCTGGAGGTGGGGTAGAGTGGGCCAGGGTCGACTGACCTGCACTGGTGTAGAGGCAGCAGGTCAGCAGGATGGATGTCACAAAGCAGCCCATCGAGCCAGCCATCCCCAGCCAGCACGACCACCCGAAGTCGTAGTGGACTCCCAGGAATATGTTGCGTGACACTAGCATGGCCCTCTCCACGTAGACGTCCACTGCATACCAGATGGAGCCCACAAGGCCCAGGATGCCTAGGAGGAATGGGGCTGGTTAAGATATAGAATCATAAAATCATAAAGGTTGGAAAAGACCTCTAAGATCATCAAGTCCAACTGCCAACCCAACCCCACCATGCCTGCTAAACCATGTCCTGAAGCGCCACATCTACACGTTTTTTGAACCCCTCCAGGGATGGGGATTCCACCACTGCCCTGGGCAGCCTGGTCCAACGCCTGACCACTCTTTCAGTAAAGACATTTTTCCCAATATCCAATCTAAACCCCCCCTGTCATAGCTTGAGGCCATTGCCTCTTGTCCTATCGCTGGTTACTTGGGAGAAGAGACCAGCCCCCCCCCTCACTACACCCTCCTGTCAGGCAGTTGTAGAGAGCGAGAAGGTCTCCCCTCAGCCTCTTCTTCTCCAGACAAAACAGCCCCAGCTCCCTCAGCCGCTCCCTCTAAGACCTGTTCTCCAGACCCTTTACCAGCCTTGTTGCCCTTCTCTGGACACGCCCACTGTACTCCCCAAGATTCCCGCTGAGGGGGTGCCCCTAGCTTCCCCCGTGCTCCCCATGGGACACAAAGTCCATCTGCTTGCTGAGCACTCCCAGCCACCCACTCCCGATGCCGAGGATGATGCCGGCCCCATAGCACATCTTCATTTTGACACGAGGCTCTTCCTTGAGGAACTTGATGCAGTCAAGCCCAAGGAGCAACGTAGCCAAAGCCAGGCCAGCCAGGAGGTCTGCTGCGATCAGCAGGGTCCGCGTCACCACGATCTTCACTGGGCAGGGAAGGAAAAAAAGAACAGAAAAGGGAGTGAGGAATGGTCAGAGGAACTGTTCTCCCTGCTCCAGATCACTGCCTGTGTCCCTGCTAGAGTCATCCAGCTCACCAGTGGGCATGTCCGTGTCTACACTGGGAGCCACAAACTCCATGCCTGCCACGTGCCATAGGCAAGGTCCTCACCAGGCTCATCTGAAATCTTGCAACAGGACTTAATAAGCCCGTTCTTAGACCAGCCCAAGAAACCAAACAACATAAGGTGGACCAGTCAGCACCTGGAATGTGGTCACCTACTCGAGACTTCCTGCACAGGCTTGGACAGCAGATGCTGCTGTCCAGACTATCTGTTTTTTCCTCCAAGTTGTGTAGCTGATGTTTTGAACAACAAATGTCAACACACCAGTGGAAAAGATGAGACCTGGCACAGGTCACGTCACCAGCTATGTGCAATGTGACTTCTCCCTGCAAAGCTTGTTCCCCAGAGCACCACAACAGCCCCACCTTGTCCATGCTGACCTCTCGTTACTTTCTCCACTGCCCGAATCTCTGTCATCATCATCACGTCCCTGTCATGAGTGTCCCATGTCATCACAAGCGTTCTCCTGTGCAAGGCCTGATGTGCCCTGTGCAGACCAGGAGAAGTGTCCATACCACTATATGACTGTCCATGAGATGAGGACACAACTCCTTGGCCAGCGGTCCTCATCTCTCCATGCAGCATCAATGGGGCTGCAAATCCCACCATGTGATAGGAGCAGGAGCTGCGCCTGGGTGCTGTGTGCCATAACACCTTTGCTGTGAGGTGGCACAGCTTCACAGCCTCTCTCCTGCTTGGTGACCTCACGACAGATCTGGCTGACCACAGGTTACTGTCCAAGCCCTGCTGATGGCACAGGAGACGAAGAAGAGCCCTGGGCCTGCATTGCTAAGTGATGAAGGTCAGCCCTTCGCAACGAGGGTCATCTCCTCGAAAAGGGAAGAGGAAAAACTCATAGTTGTGAAGTTAAAAGATGCCTCCACGCCATGCCAGCTTACCTGGGTGGTCAGCCAGAATGGAGTCATACTGGTCACAGGTCCTGACTCCGTCCTGTATGTTGGTGACACACTCCCTCCAAAGTCCCCGGCATTTGTGACTTATCTGGAAGCAGGAGAAAAACATTCAAGCAAAAAGCACCCAAAACCGCCCCAGTTCACTGGGGATATCCCAGCCCAGCAGAACTTAAGGCTCTCACCACCACAGCTTGACACGTCCTGGTGACTCCCTTACCCATGCTTTTCTCCCTGTCTCCTCCTTCTGCTCCAGCACTTCTCTATCTAATCCTCTAATCCTCCGACTCATGCAGAAAGCAGTGGGTTTGTCCCACTGTCCCCTTTCCAAGCCCATGGAGACAAGGTGCAACCTCATGGATGTCAAGGCACCCACGTTGCTCCCAGCTGCTAACCTCAAAGGTGGTTGCTCTGCTAACCTTGAAGATGGTTGCTCTGCTCACCTCCAAGCTGTCATCAGCGTTCACCATCCAGCAGTCGGTACATGTGGCAAGGAGCAAGAAGAGGGTTGAGAGAAGAGCGAGACCAAACGCTGACATCTGCAAGGCTGCACTCATGGGGTCACCTGCAAGGGCACAGAGATGTCCACCACCTCTGTTTTGGCCTCTTCCCAGGACACCAAGGACAAAGTGTCACCTAGACTGGGTTGTCCTCTGGATCCCTGTCATCTGGAGCCCTTCTGATGGTCCTTAGTGCTGCCAAAATGCTCTAATACCCTTACCTGAGGTTGGGCCACCAGGTTTGCGTGTAGACATGGTCTTCAGGGACACGTTAATTTGCAGTGGAGACATACCCACGTCAGTTTGCTCTCTAGACATCCTCTCTTCCAAATAGACCACCTGAAGCTGCCAACCATTAGTACGAGCCCTCTGGGAATCAAAAGCTGCTGGTTCTCCTCCCTCTCTACTCAGCCCTAGTGAGGTCCCATCTGGAGTAATGCATCCAGTTCTGGGCTCCCCAGTTCAAGAAAGGTGAGGAGAGACTGGAGAGAGTCCAGCGCAGGGGTACGCGGGTGAAGAGGG